CCTGCGGCCCTCGGGCAAATATATTTTATTTGCCTCGGGATAATCCCAATATCCTGAACCTCATATAGGATAATCTCTATATACTGCAAGTGCTAAAATGTAAGCCAAAAGAAACTCCAAACTTACTTAATGTTAAGTTAACTCAGATAAATGTTGATAAATACAGGCTCATGTATGATAACACAAGAATGCTCTCGTATTTGACCACCATTTACCAACCTGATAGTCTGCTAATTACTTATCCATGAATGCTTCTTTGATGTGAGCACAATTATATAATATTGCATATATTTTTCTACTGGGTTCCTTCTATCTAGAATTTATTTTTGTGAAAACAATTTTTTAATCTATTATGTTTGCTATAATAAATAGGTTTCACTGCAAACTTAAGACTAGGGAAGATTTCCTTCAATATAGAGAGGAAGCAGTCTTAGAACTTTATGGGTCAGTATTCCCAGGAACATATTAAGACTCCATTAACAGATTTCCAAACCAGTAATATTATTGAAAAGCGAGCCATTGAAAATACTTCAAGAGAAACCATAGGAAAACAGTCAGCCAGAAAATCATATAGTTCCATTTGATAACTCTAAACAGGACGCTCTCCATTCAAGTTAAACGGGTCTGAAAATAATGAAAATGCAATTTAGATTGTAGTTTGTACAGCTAACATCTCATTTTGAAGCTGATTGATGCGATTTTGAGACAATGCAGTCCCACCTACATTGTCAAATAATTTTCATGAGAAATAACCATTACTCTTAAATAAACCAGAAACATACACTTAAACTTTCCAGTTTTATAGATTATATGGTATTTTCTTGTGTTTTATCATCCTTATCAGCGTATATGAGTTGTAAGGGACAGCTGGGCCACAGATATCGCTTTATGCATGAAGATTAGCAGATATAAACTAGTTATAGTAGGTGGATTTTTAACCCAGATTTAGGAACCCCAGGAAATGATACAGAGCCTAACAAAACCTCAATAGTTTCCATAACAATTCTGAAGTATAACTTATCCCCAAATTCATCAATTGATACATGCTAAGTATGTGATACATGTATTCCCTATTAACACAATATTCGAAAGAGATCTATCAATATCTCTGAATTTTTATATTGGCATGTATATGTTTATGTATCTGAAGGGCCAAACCAAAATATTGTATAAAGGTATATCTCACATTGAAGCTTATTTACCCCAACTATAAGGGCAATTAATAAACAGTTTTTATGCTGATAAAATCTGAATGACCCAAAAGTAGCTGTCGTGGCTTTTAATGAGTTTCATTATGAAATGAATTTAAGATTGTATATAGAAAGCATATTCAGTGAAATTATTTTTATAGGGTAGCTGCATTTGATCAACTGTATACTCAGTATCCTGATTAGTTATAAGGCCAGATCAAAAATTGTTTCTATACAAGAGTGAAGATGAAGCTCTCTTTTAAAAGGCAAACATCAACCTACAAGAAAGGGTAAAGCTCACTAGGTTTACCAATGCCATCCTCATGCCTGGTTCCAGTTGTCAGAAATCAAAGATACCTCCTTCCTATGTAGGAAATTAAGTTCACCATATGTTCGACAGCAAGGCCAATCAGTTTCATTTTGTACCTAACTCCAGTAAATTTAGCTAGCATAGGAGTATGTGTACAGAATATATTTTACAAAACTGTATTATCTATTCTCCTTTCTGAGGGTATATTTATTCCAGAGAGGGTACTGTTATATTTTTTATTTTTTATTTATTTATTGGAATCACTTTTAAAACAGTGGCACACACATTGAAAATGTGGTGCATCCACATACAAACATGCTTATACAATTACAGTCAAAATTAAAATACATAATGTCACTAAAATACATCAATCCTTATTATAGGGAATATAAATTGCTTTCAGATATTTCTTTACACATTGATCTAAAATATGACCTTGTTCATTTCCCCAGTCAATGAAAGCTTTATCACCCATGGTCAAGCATATTTTAATTGGAATTTTAGCAGAAATAAGGCTAGATGACAGTTGTTCATTACAGGAGTTTATCACGTTCAGAAAGAAGTTAGTTCTTTCATCATTAAAATGAGGACATACAAACATACGATGCTGGATAGAGTCCTTGACATTCGTGTCACATAAATTGCATAACCCATTACCTTGGCCCCATCGCTCCTTGTCAGTATTCAGACCAAAACACCCTGATCTTGCCTTAAATTTCAGTTTCTGACCATAAAAGTCGAAATCAGTCTTAAGGTAGTTTTCTTGAAAACAATTTGTTTTTAAGGAGCTGTACAGAACAAGAGAAGATTTGTCTGCAATGGTGTCTAGAAAACAGCTTTTGCTTCTTTCATTCGATATTTTAAGATATCCCTGATACCAGTCCGTGTCATCAACATGAATGGCTCTGTCTAACCCATGTTTGATCAAAATGTTATTGATATTTGAAAAATAAGGCCATGAACATTTGTCATTATGTGAAATGGAAAACTTATCATACATTGTGTTAAAAATACGTTGATGTAGAGAACCTGGCTTTAGCCTACTTTTCAGATAAATAAAATAGTCAATTTGACGTTTTTCAATAACTTCGGTTATGCTTCTCCAACCTAAGTCACCTAAAATAGCTTCCCTAGCAGGACGGCAGGTTAACTGTAGTACAGATCTTGCCATATTATATTGCATGGATTTGAACTTATCTTGCATAGAGGCATTAAGTAAAAATATAGGGCAGCCGTTTAATAAAGCAGGTAAATACATTGAATTATACATTGTGGTACCAAAATGTACTCTTTTGATGTCGCAATGCTTTGTTAAAGTTGCAACACACATACCATTCATTTTCTTAGCTTGTTGCCAGAATACTATTCACATGGTAAGAATCTTTAAGTGTTCTATCAAAATAAATACCTAGATATTTGTAGTTTTGTACTTCTGAAAGTTCCAAATTACCAAGGATCCATACCTTATGCCTATCTATCCTTTTGCCGATGACCATAACCTTGGACTTTTTCGAACTAAAGTTAAAGCCCCATTTTAATGCAAAATTGGCTGCTACTTTTAACATTCTATTTAACTGGGTTTCGGATTCAGCGATTAAGACTATATCGTCAGCAAACAAAAGGGCTGGGACATTTTTATCTACAAAAGGGATGCCAAGTCTTTCTTCCTTCAGGCAATCAGTTAAATCAGTAAATGTTTTACAGATAATATATTCCTCTAATCGCCACTCTTATTTCTCCCACCCCAATCTTATATTCACCCATCTTAGGTTATAACTTATATTACCCCCATCTAATTCTTAAGAAGCCACAATAAAGTTGGGGGTTAAGATATAAACATAAAGCACAAAGATGGGATAAACCAAGAAATGATGAGATGCACAATGGCTTAGTAGATAAATAAACAAACTTGCCTTTTAGCTGGGCTATAAAACAGGATTATACAGTTATAAATCTACCTTAATTGGATTAGTAATGGTCAACTTGGTACGGAAACAGTAAAACAGAGAGAAAGTTATTTGGGCTTTAAATCCTCTTAACCCTCTTAGGCCACCATTTTAGTATACTAACTTTTCATTTACATTTGTTCAAGACATTAAATAACAAAGGAAATCAAGACAGGTTTCAATGCGTCTTGCATGCATTTTCTCCCAGCAATTTGAGAAGGTTTTGTTTTGTTGTTGATTGCATGTATATCTTGCTGGGTTTCGTAACTGCTTATAAGGTGTTTAATGATTTCTATGCCTAGTTACGTATTACTACCCAATATGATTGTTCAGTTTGTTGATATTTTCATACATTACTGAACAAACTGGCCTAATTATGAGACCCATACATGGATAAATACAAAGTAAATGGACAAATAGGGTCTTTGGACATGCAATACTTAAAGGCCAGGAAATGGACTGTTTAATGATAAATCTAAGTTACTTAAGAACCACTTCTGAATTCATTGTTTTGGACTGAAGAATATCCCAGATCCTGAAAGTAAGAGCTTTAGGAAACCAATTAAATTTTTATCTTTCCCATCATCCCATAAACAAAAAAACATGTTTATCAAAATTACCAAAACTTGAAAATGAAGTTTTTCAAACATGTAATTTAACAAGAGTTATGTGTTTGGATAATACAAATGGAGACCACACTAGTGCTTCAAAAAGATGTGTAGGTCTAATATATATATGTAATGATATATAATTATGCGTTACTTATGGGATACTGCTACTATTAGGCTATCAGAGAAACAGGTGTCATATCGGGGTCAATGGTCAACTAACCCTTGTCATAATGAGCAATACTAGAAATGCACCAAGTAACATCTTAAAATAAGCAACAATACAAGAAGTGTGCTAAATAACAAGTAGTAGTCAATTCTTCACATATTAGCAATGGAGGCTTTCTCTCTGTATGGAAATGTGTGTATAATACAAGCATTTGAACATATATATTGAGTCTTTATGTACTGTTTTGGTTTATTTAAGTCCCTTGGGCAATTATTTATTTCCTAAAACATGTAAAGGGTAGCCACTGTGAAATGACATTGCACAGATAGACTACTGATATAAAACCAGGATTCAATGAAATACATGGCTAGTTACTAGGCACAGACAGGCATAAATTGATTGCCTGGCAGATCTCCATTTTTTTTAAATAACTGCACATGTCCATGTTTATCAAGTATCAACTGGTAAAGACAATTAATAAGTTCAATTGTTTGACTAACTGTATAATAATTAGGGCTATTATCTCATATTTGGTAACCACAAATAGCCAACAGGTCACACTTTGATTGCAATCAAAATCGGCTGAATCAAAATTATGACATAATGGATATTATGACATAATTTGGAATCAGGTTGATATTCTGCATTCAATATTGAGATTTCCTGATGAGAAATTAAAATACACATTTTTTGATCGTCGTCTGTAATATTGTGGTCCACATTATTATGCTTCTAATGTCAAATTTATGGCGTTACAAAAGTTGTTAGGAATCTTACCTTGCAGAAGGGCCACAACAACCAGCGCCTGGTAAATCATCTTCAAGATAAATCTACTAACACACTGCAAATCTGTCAATTTTTTATCCTTTTGTAGATCCAAATATTGGACGATTCCGAACTGCAGTCGAATTATCCTACGTGTATCTTTTTCAGTGTTACTCTAACATCTGATCACAGCTTATCTCAGCTACAAACCACACACTTCCTGAAACAGAAAGTTATTTTCATGAGATTTATCTCTCTAAGTAGGTCATTACATGACGAAATCCTGCAGAAAATGAATTTTCTGACATTTTACAGATACAGTGTTCTTCAGAGTTGTTGGGAAAGTTTCAAAACTTTTGTAACTTTCAAAAGTTGATTTCTTTTTGTTAGCATTTGCAAAATAGAATATTATAGTATCATAATATGAAAAATAATGTATTGATTAATTTCAATTTTAAATAATATAATCGCAATAGTAAAAAGTATAAAATCTTACCAAAAGACACTCCTGACCACCCAGTTAGATTTCTCAGGCATGTAGAGAAATGGCGGAAATAGTGTACGTTGTGCCACCTATTACCATCACTGTTTCATATATTATATTTATTAACAAATTGCACCAAATCAACGCATAAATGATAACCTAAAATTATAAATGTAAATGCAAACTAGTACAACCTCAATTTATATCAGTGTTAGGTAATTTGTTAGTCAACTATGAACATAAACGTAATGTAATTCAGAGATATGAAGGGAGGATAGTCACAAAAGAGAATAGCAAATAGTCTAAAACTTAAAACGTTTACAGTATTTTTCCATCAATCGCTTATGATATCTAAATTTTATTGTCTAAACACACTGATTGATTAGTTATCTTGTATTTTTTTAATAGAATTTGCATTATTTGAATGTAACTAATATTTGCACCGATTAGAGCTTCGAGACAGTAATACGTCATTTCCGTTCTGCAATATTTTGTAAGTTTTGTAATTTTCTTACGCTCTTATGTATTTTTCAAGATTTTAGCGTCTGTGTATCTCATTCACCAATAAAATCAACACCATAGTACTTCCGTGTATGTATTTATTTTACAGTGTATGAAACTGTTCGGTTATATTGTTTGTTATTCAACCTATAATATATTCTTCTTATGTCACCACTTGGACTTGGATAGGTGCATTCATGCACCCTCTGGGTCTCTGAGGATCGTGTTGGCCCCAGGGGTGCATAACGTGCAATGTAAATTTATCAAATTTAAGAAATGCTGAAAAGTCAGGATCTGATGTTTTTGACTTTTCTCCCAAGATCTTACCTCAATCTTGAAAATTCTTTCACCACTGGATAGCGGGACCAAAATCTTCAAAATGAACCCATAAATGCCTCGCTTTATTACAGTAATTATGTGTAATCGTTGCAGATAAGACGAAATTGCATTTCTGACCGGTCTTCTTGACATTTTCGCTGACCTAATTTCAGGTGCGCATGCGTTGCATAAATCAGTGTGATGATCACGTGACGTGACGTAATTTGATGATCATGTGTCGTAATGTTTTCCAATAACCAGTTGGTAAAACTGCTATAGTGGATTCTTGATTCAATATGTTTGTTATCACGTCTTGTAACTGTTCTGGCTTCAAATCAAATCCAAACTTTGGTTTTATGTTATGCGAATAGAGATCATTGATTTCTTCCATCGAATACATGATGGTCGAATGAATGATATAAACTCTGTATAGTTAAATAGATGGCAGCAATATTCAATGGCTACTCTCGTCAAATCTCGTGAGAATAGAAGCCGCCATAAAGATTTTGTGAACAGTAGCGACAAACGGCGATTTTGCTACAAAATTAGCACAATTCAACCTTCTACAACCACAAAGCTATGGTAATTTTTTGTATAAATCATCAATGTATCCATTTTGTTTATATTAATCTGTAAATGACGCAGAGATTCTAAGCAGAAGATTAAAATAAAGTGAACCGTCAAAAATAATCAAGAAAAACTTAGATTGGCATGAATTTACAAGGATAAACACCGCCTCTAATGCAAGTCCTTACGACAATCCAACGCATTAGAGGCGGTGTTCACCGTCTAGGACTTGGAGAGCTTTGACATATCACCCTTACTCTACCGAGCTGACGGGATGCTGGATTGAAAATTCTTGAAGATAAAAAGTCAAGCGCATTTTGATTAAACGCTGTGCTGAGTAGCGTTTATAATACACTATATATTTGAATCAATACATATTTCTTGATCCTTTTAAGTGTCTATTGGCACTACATATTTATTTGTTGTTACCTTATCTTGATCCTTGAACAGTCTGTTGTTGTAGTAAATCAATATTCTATTAGACAACAAAACTTTTGAATTTAGATTGCAGTCATTTTAGGTCTCATGAGATCTTTAGACTTTCGAAAGTAATGATTTGCTACAAAATAACTCACGCTAGCTAAATATGAATAGTCACATGATCTTTTAGCGGCAATGCCCATGCGCATGTAAAGTACAATGCCCATGTGCACGCATGCGCAAAAGTTAAAAAATGGTGTGCACCAGGTCTGGAATTTCTCCACTTTAATTGCAAATTACACAAGTAGGACTTATTGTCACCATGCGTCATGAAAAGGGCAAGTAACATTCAATTATCTTCTTATATACCGTTAACTTATTCCAGCATGCCTGCTGGAAATTGGAAAAAAACACTTCACGAGACGGTATATTTCAACGTTCCCTCAGCTGACTTTTTAGCCAGCTGTGTTCAGTAATATCACCCCATGCAGACAGATCATCTAAAATTACATTTGTAGGATGTGAGACTCAACATTCACCTTATAAATGCTGAATGAAAGTTAAATTAAAATCTATAAGTATGAGAATAGCATGACGTCTTGATATTTCGAGGTAACTCGTTTGAAAAGTGATGGCGGTGATTGAAATTATAATGTAAAGATAAAACCGCAACAAAATATTTATAGATTTCTTTGAAGAACTAAAAAATAGATATCACATATCAAATTTTTCCGAAACACAAAAAACATGTAACAATTGTAAGGCCTGCAGGTCCAATTCCCCCTGGTAGCATTAACATTGGTCTCGTATATGTCCCACAATTATATTTGAAATGCAACTATTATTCGAACTTATGATCGGACATTAGTAAGTATGATACTAGAAGTACGCATCATACTTATGTCCGTTCATAAGTTCGAATAATAGTTGTGTTTCAGATATTAATTGAATGGCATATACGAGACCAATATCAATGCTACCAGAGGAATCGGACCTGCATGCCTTACCATTTACACATTTTTTTCTGTTGTGAAAAATTCGATATGTGATGATATTTCTCAGTTTTTCAAAGAAATCTACAAATATTTTGTTTTGTTTTATATCTTTACATCGTAATTTCAATCACCGTCATAGCTATTCAAACGAGTTACCTTGAAATGTCAAGACGTCGTGCTATTTTCATACTTATAGAACTCAATGCGACTGTCATTCATGCATATGGGGTAACTTTGACACCTTGTTGTTTATTTGCTCTAATTTCTGATCTAGAGAGAAGTCATGTATTTTTTCTGTGTAGTGGATCGAAATCTTGCCAGATTTTCATTTTTGGCAGAAAATGGAAATTCTGACTTCTAATAAGTAAGTGTCTAAGTTCCCCATTTCTTATGTTGACATGTTGTTGTTACGCCCCTTTGTCCTTTACAGTTTGGGCAATTAATAAATGCAGAATGAAGTGGCGAAGTGGTATTTTCGATCTAGGGGGAAGCCATGTTTCGGAAAATGAAAATTCTAATTTTTGACAAGGAAGTGTCAAAATCACCCCATATCTCATGTTGACATTTTCCCACATGTCGATACACCCCTTTGCCTCAGGTTATGGGTACTCAGGAAAACTATTGACAATTTCAAATATGATTACCTCAACTTACTTTGAGGGTATGACATGAAAGATCAACCTTTCTTTAAAAATTTAAGTCGTGTGTGACATTTCTCAATCTCTGAACACTAACACTTTAGACCCCTTAGACTTGCTAGCCTAGTATATCTATCTTTACCAAAGTCAATGTTGGATGGTTTCTTTCACATTCTGTTCACATAAAGTGCATATTCCATGGCCCTGTCCCAATTTTTCATATTCTGTTTTCAAGCCCAAAAACTGATACTCTATGATCTAGCTTTGAACTTTAATCTTTGCCCATAAAAGTAGAAATCTGGAGTCAAGTTGTTTTTTATCGTACCTAACAAAAGGTACAAAAGGCATCTCACTTTTCAGCTTGTCTACAGGTTTCCAGCCAAACCATTTGAGGGATTCATCTGAAATTTTCAGGGATGTTTCTACATATCAACGTCAAGAACTGATTAGTTTTTGGGCATTCTGGGTAAATCTTCAGGTGGCCATTTTGGATTTTCCGTCCTAAAATCTTTATTTTCAAGACTTGTCTACAGGTTTCCAGCCAAACCATTTGAGGGATTCATCTGAAATTTTCAGGGATGTTTCTACATATCAACGTCAAGAACTGATAAGTTTTTTGGGCATTCTGGGTAAATCTTAAGGTGGCCATTTTGGATTTTCCATTCTAAAATCTTCACTTTCAAGACTTGTCTACAGGTTTCCAGCCAAACCATTTGAGGGATTCATCTGAAATTTTCAGTGATGTTTCTACATATCAACGTCAAGAACTGATTAGTTTTTGGACATTCTGGGTAAATCTTAAGGTGGCCATTTTGGATTTTCCGTCCTAAAATCTTCACTTTCAAGACTTGTCTACAGGTTTCCAGCCAAACCATTTGAGGGATTCATCTGAAATTTTCAGGGATGTATCTACATATCAACGTCAAGAACTGATTGGTTTTTGGGCATTCTGGGTAAATTTTAAGGTGGCCATTTTGATTTTCCGTCCTAAAATCTTCACTTTCAAGACTTGTCTACAGGTTTCCAGCCAAACCGTTCAAATTTTTTACATATGTTACACAGTGATAAGTTCTAGAGCTGATTAACTTTTCTGCGGCCATCTTGCTTTCTTGGTCAACAAGACCACAATGCTGTGTTTTAGGTACGATATTGTTCACGTCTGTGCCTTGTCTAAGAAGGGATGGGGATCAAGACATTAATACAGTGATAGTGAAGACCTGTTATTACTCAATGCAGTCCTAAAATTATTAAGCCTTTCCTAATCAGATATTTTGATAAAAGCCTGTTCCAGTCTGCATCAACTCTGAAAGGACCTCAATGTTAATGCATCTATCTTATATCTGTATTTAGTTATACAAAAACTAATATCAATCAATGTTAATAGCTTAGAGATGACCATGTTGGTGATTTTTCATAATGTTTTGATGTCCATACAACCTGTCTAATAATCCATGTGTATTTGCAGGTAGATCAAGTTGTAGTGCAGTAGCAGTGTCTATTCATCACACCAATTCTGAAGGTAAGAGCTTAAAGGCATCTATGGTGTCATCAGTGTGTTGTAATTTTTGTTTGTCTATTGGAAGCAATTTTTGTCACCATTTGAAGCAAGTTATATTTTATGGTTGTAATGACACCCTATGCGAAGAGATTGCACCAGATTCAAATGGTAATGGTAAAGACGAGCCATTGCTATTTGTAATATTGGTGCGATCTCTTCATATATAGGTTGAACAAATGTATGTGCCTTATCTGTCTGTATGTGCTAGATAGGTGTTTATCATGTACTTTATCTAATATAGATGTCTCTACAATCAGTGCTCTCTTTAGAATAACTGAATAGTTAAATAAATGTTGATGTCATGTCAATGGTGTACATAGGCCCGTTGCCAGGATTTGCCAAGGAAGGGAGGTTCACTTTTTGAAAAATTCCAAGGGGGTATTTCGTCTTGACAACTTTGGCCCAAACATGGCCAAAATCACTTAAAAAGTACTCAGAATTGTGAAAACTGCATGGTTTGAAATAATTGTTGGCCATGGAGGGGTACATTACCATATTAAGTCAATTTACCCTTGCTGCAATCCTAATTTTCTCAGAAAAACTCAAATTGATTGGGTCTCAAAAAGTAGAATATTGATGCATGTGAATAATTGATTCCAAGTAGTAAGAAATCAGGTTCTAAATCAAAATAGGATATTGGGCTTCATCTTTTAGAACTTTTTATTGGCTCTCATATACTTTATTTACTAAACATGTTTAAATGATAATATTGTCCTTGTGAAACAGATCAGCACTGAATCTATTTATATTCAAGGCCATGGTCTCCTAACACTGTGAAAACACCAGTACACTGCACCAGCATACATGTGTCCCTTCAACAAGAAGTAATTTGTTTTAGGTTAAGTCTATAGATGTCAGTTGTATCAAATTGGTGTGTCAAATATTAGTTCATTAGTTTTTTTTTTTTTTTTTTTTTTTTATTTATTCATGTAATATAATTATGATTAAGTATTACATTTACACACTAGATACCCATAGGGGGTATATCAGTGCATTATCATAATTTGAAAAACCATAAAGGTGTACATTTATATGAGTTGAACATGAATACATACAATTTATAATAATACATGTTATAAAATATAAAAATATACAATTACTGCCTGCATGATAAATCCATGAGTGAAATTATAAACATTATGGATACAACAAAATGTGGAAAAATAACAATACATGCTCACAGCTTATAGCTCAATAACAATTTATCAATATTTTTTTGTAATTATATTTAAAGGAGTGTAGAGAGGGTAGAGATTGAAGGGAAGTTGGCAATTTATTCCATATCATTGATCCAGAGTATTGAACTGATTTCTTTGTTAAGTTTGATTTAAATCTACATGGAATTATATGTCGTATTTGTCTTGTGAGGCGAGAGTGTTTAAAATTAAAATACTGTTTGAATAGATGGGATGGAAAAAGTGCAGGCTCTTTTACAATGTTAAACATGAATTTTGCTTTTTCTAACTTGTGAATATCAAATATGGTTAAAATATGAAGTTGCTTGAATAATGGTAAACTTGCATGATATATATCTAAATTTAAAGATAATTTAACGAATTTCTTTTGAATTGCATAAATTTTTTCTAATAAGAATTTGTTGGCATTTCCCCATATAATATTGCAATATGAAATGTGAGAATATATAAGAGAGTAATAGATATCTAGTAAAGCTGTCAAATTTAATTTATAACGTACTTTATAAAGTATACCTATTGTTTTTGATATTTTTGAAATAATATAAGATATATGTTCATTCCAATTGAGTTTATTGTCTATTATTACACCAAGAAAATTTGTTTTTTCCACACGTTCAATGGTAATTTTATCAATCATTAACTGATATTGTGGATCATTGAGTTTAGCTTTTGATTTGGTAAAGATCATGTAGTTAGTTTTATCAATGTTGAGTGAAAGTTTATTGTTCTTGAACCAGTTAGATATATTAATCATTTCATTATTTGCAATTTTAAATAAATTTTCTAAGTTTTCATCTTCGAGGCATATATTGGTATCATCAGCAAAAATAACTAGTTTGAAAATATCTGATACTTTAAAAAGATCGTTTATGTATAGTGTAAATAATACTGGTCCCAAGACAGAGCCTTGGGGGACTCCAAAAGTTAAGGTTTCATTCTTGTCTGAATATGTACCATCAATAAAAGTTTTTAAGGGACGATTTTTCAAGTAACTTCTGAACCAATCGTTGGCAACACCGCGAAAACCTAGCATTTCTAGTTTATTAAGTAAAATAGTATGATCAATTGTGTCAAATGCCTTAGAAAGGTCTAAATATAAGCCAAGAACATGTTTATTATTATCTAAAGCAAATCGTATTTGTTCGGAAAAAGTAAGAATAGCCATATATGTAGAATGTTTTTCTTTAAAGCCAAACTGCCTCTCATGCATTAAATGATAAGTTTTAAGGAATGAAGAAAAACGTTTATGCATTACCTTTTCCAAAAGTTTAGAAAAAACACTCAATAAAGAAATTGGTCTGTAATTCTTAAAGTGTGACTTGTCCCCTTTCTTAAAAAGTGCAATTAATTTTGTAATCTTTAATTTCTCTGGAAAAACTCCAGATTGTAGTGAAAGATTAACAATATGTGTAAAGGGAGTAACAATATTGAATCTGGCATGTTTTATTATTATTGGCTTTATGTTGTCAAAACCAGGAGCTTTATCAGCAAGTCCCTGCATTAAAGCTAAAATTTCGTCTTCACTAACAGGATCTAGAAATATAGAATGGTTGTTTCTTGAAATATTGGCATATGGTGACCCATTTGAATTAATTTTTGATGCAAGCTTTGGACCAACATTTGCAAAGTAAGAAGAAAAATTATTTGCTACAATTAATCTATCTTTTGTTATTCTATTATTTATAAGCATGTTAAATTCATTTGTATTAGAGTTTTTGTTTCTTTTTAAAATATTGTTTATAATTGACCAGGTTTCCCTGAGATTTCCTTTAACTTCATGAAACTTAGAATTATAATGTCTTTTTTCGGAAAAACGAATTATATGTTGTAACTTGATTTTAAATTTTTTGTAAGCTTGTTGATTTTCTGGAGAAGGATATTTCATATATTTTCGATATAATTTGTGTTTGGTTTTACATGAAGTTATTATACCATGTGTTAACCATGGCTTATTTGAGTTGATGAATATTTTGACTGTTTTTGTTCTTAAAGGGAAATGTTTATTGTATAAATTTGTCATTATATTTTCAAATTCTATATATGCTAAGTTAACATCTTGTTCTACAAGTACCTCATTCCAATTTATATTAGCCAGATCAAAGTTAAAATTTATTATAGCTTTATCATTAATGTGTCTAAATTTAATTGTTTTCTCCTCGACTTTACAAGTTGTATGACGTGTTATTGTAAAAATAGCTAAATGATCTGAAATCGGAAAAGTTAAAAGACCAGATGAGTCAATTTCATTTGAATTTGTAAATATATTATCTATTAATGTAGCTGATCTGTTAGTTATTCTTGTAGGTTTATAAATTAATGGATTTAATGAATGTGAATACAAGGTATTAAGAAATTGATTGGTTGGCAAATGGTTTTCAGTTTTGAGAAGATCAATGTTAAAATCACCCATCAAAAATATAGTCTTTTTCTCATTAACAACTTTAGCTAATAGTTCATCAAGTAATGAATTAAAATCAGAAATGTTAATGTTCGGTGGCTTATAAATAGTAAGTATGATCACATTTTGAGAGTTTTCCTTAGGAATTACAATAGCTAAAGATTCACAGTCATTGCTTTTCAAAGTAAGGTCGTTTCTCAATATATATTTAATTCCCTTTAAAATGTGTATAGCTACACCACCACCATGTTTATAAAGTCGAGAACAAAATTCACTATTGTAGTTATCTTGTACATATAATTGTTCAATATCTTTCTTAAGCCACGTTTCTGACATTCCAATAACAGATATCTTATTTTTCAACATTTCTATCAAATTGTGAAATTTCCACTCATTTTTGGACAAACTTCTCATATTTATGTGAAGAAGTGATAGATCTATATTATTTTGAAGAGCATGAGAAAACTGGTCAATATTTATATAGTTGCATTTTGACATTAAAGTATGGATGGTAAAGTCTTCATCATTCAAAGAGTCATTCATAGTTTCATTCATTTCGATAGGATTAAAAGATAAGCTTTCAAAATAATCAAAAGAACTGGAGCTAGATGCTAAATCAAAAAATTCCACAGGTGTTGTATCATAAAAAGGCAACAATTGCCATGTATTAAGAGTATCATTCATTGCAATTCCTCAAAATAAGTGATTGTACACCAAAAATATTATCGACAAAAGGTTCACTTCACATGAGTAAATATAAAACTCTCTGCTTTTTACAGGCTAAAGTACAACTTGCACATCAGTAAAACTACCACAAGGAAGAAATTAGTCATTTGTGATTGATTCTATTTTTTAGGTAGATGAACATCATAATCATTCTCATGCAATTATCATGATCACAACTAGGTATATATTGGCATGGGTAATAATTTCTCAAATTTCCATAAATACTTGCACATTATTATGGGATCATAAAATATCTCAAGGTAATAAAATTTGGTCAGTAACATTGAAAAAATGACATTACAAAAAATTCATATTTATATTTGTGGAGTGTGAAACTGCCTTAAAGGCAGATTGTACTTTACTGACCCTAAACTAGTATACCAATTATAGTCTTATTTAAGAGAGTTACATCAGCACAGTTGTTAGCCCTCAAAGTATCACTCATTCACCTACATGGGAAATGATCAAAAACAATAACACCCTACACATAGAGAGCGCGTAATATTACTACGCTGGCTGCATTTGAAGAGACTATCTGGCTATTTCAAACATGGCTGAAGAGAGGTAAGTTTACTTTCCAACATTTTGATTGTTTTTCAATCTGTATCCCAGCGATTATTGAATTTCTTAAAAGAATGATA